TTTTACCTTTTCATGACCAGTATGGGTTGGAATATGCTTCTCAAGTCTAAAGCAATGTTGGTATATTTTGCTTCCTTCAGTGTTTTTGTAGGCCACACAGAAGAGCATTCAGTCCCAAGATGGGCCATGCTTTCCTCTCAGGCTACAGATTATAGTACTAGGACTACATTTACTGAGCAGCAACTTCAATACTAAGGAATAGTCATCAACAAAACAGCCAAGGTTTCTGCCCTCATGGAGTAATAAACTAGCATCTGCCCATCAACTGATGTCACTAGAGAGAGTTCACTCATATACAGATCCCAGGATTTCTACAACATAGTCCCTCAGGACCTCTGAAGCATCAAAACTTCTATTCTTTAAGCAGAAATTTAACTTGATCATGGGAGACATCCAGAAATTTCTAGAGGTAGGGATGGTATACCAGCTACATTTCCCATAGAATCTACTCTAAGTCTTTAGTCTGTATTGTCAAAAGGATGTCAGGAGTCTTGAGAACTCTTGATTAGAGCCTGGATAACAAATGTGGACATTCTACAAAGGGAAAAGTTTAGCAATATACTCTGGTGGTAGATTTTGAGTCACATAAATTTGGATTAAAATTCTAAGTTTTCTAATTACAGGCCATGGGAGCTTAGGAAAAAGCCCTAACATTCTAAGATTCAATTACTGCATCAGGAAATGAGAATAATCATAGTAACTAACATTATGAAGCTATTATAAAGATTAAATAATAACTGAATAAACATATTCACAACAAACATGCAATAATATAAGCTAGACGTAGCTAGAGTAACATCAGTATGATTCTTTTTATTATACGTTCATGTAAAAATAGCTCATGAATGCCAGATGCTATGGTAGATAGTAGGGAGACAATACAATAATCATGTTCCAACTTAAAAGTCATTTCCAGGGATACTTTCTTCATGTCTCACACTAAGTGAAATCTTTCTATTACTCGCTCCTATCAAGAAGGGGCTTTTGCTTCTTGTTCACTGCTAAATCTCAGCTGAAATCACATGTTGCATGCATGAATAAATGAATGATAAATAAAAGGGGATACATAGTGCTATGGAATCACACAGTCAACAAGGCATTTCAGAGAAAATGTCCCTACGAACATGAGGAAGAGTGTTCTGGCCTAGGAAATTTTCCACGTGGCAAAAAAGAAGGCAGTAGGAAAACTCAGTCTACCACTACACTCTATGCTTCAGTAGCACCAGATTTTATTTTAATCCATAAAATACATCATGTTTGTTAATAATGCCACATACTTTGGGGGAGTAAAAAAATGTTCCTTTTCCATGTGTTCATATGTCAAAAATTCAATTCCTCCATTAGTCCAAGATCAAATACCACCTCTATCATAAAATACTTTCCAATTCTCCTCAGCTCAAATGAGTTGCTTCTTCTGTATTCTATGTTTTGCTACTATATCTACTGACTAAAGGGCTTATAGATGTGTGGTTAACTGCCTCTCTACCAGATTAGGTATCCTTAGAGGCAGAAGTCATTTATATAGTTTTTTACTCCTCCAAACAGTAACAGAAAAATATATTTAATACTTCTTTATCAAATTGAATTGAAACAAAATGCAAGAACTGCCATAGCAGGAGCTATAAAGTATTTTTTATTCAATCTTCACACTAAACTCACTTCCAGTGGTCCTTTTATTTTTCTGGGTTGTCTTTTCCCAAATGCAACTCACAATTCTTAAAACCAACTTTACTGACATTGCAAAGATCAATAAAGTAATATCACTTGGCAGTTTTAAGGCTGCAGCATAAAAGATACTCCTTTTTGTTTGTAGAAATTACACATTCTTCCCCTTTATATAGTTAGCTTCAATAGGAAAAGTTTAGATAGCATCTGCTTCTCTTAATCTCTTCATCTTTGCCATCCTATTCTCAATCTCTTGCCCAAAAATAGAGGTACTATTTTGAATATATGAATACACAACTTGAAATTCTATGTCAGTATATAATATACACAGTTCTTCAATAAATATGAAAAGCACTGGAAAGTCTAAGTAAAATGAATTTAATAAAGGTAAGAAGTATACTGTTATTACTGGATTTTCTGATGTTTTGATTTACTACCTTTTAACTTCAGAAAAAATAGTATTAACAATAAAGTGCTTGTATTTAAAATTGAGATGTGACTGAAAGTAAATCACTCAAAGAACTAAAGAAGGGGAGGAGATTTTCTATACAGGAAAAGCTCTGCACCTGAAGGCCCTAAGGAAGAACTTGGTGTCCTCAAGGATCTTAAGGAAGACAAGTGGCTGGAACAAAGAGAAAGAACATGAGAGAAGCAAGATGAACTCTGCAGGGTAAGATCCTGCAGTACAGGTCCAGTTAGATTTTAGGTTTTATTTCCATTCCAAATTGCCAGGGAAATCTTTACATTTGTGTCAGTTAAGTAGGGAATGCTAGGGAACTTGACCTAAGCATAAAGTAAATATAAGTAGATTCATTCTTCCACCCAATAAATATTTGTAAAGCAATGAAAAAGCAACTTTTCACAGAACACCTCAAAGTTAGACCATACTTTAAGCCATGAATTAAGCCTTACCAAACTTAAGAATATTGAAAATATATCTGCTTTTCCAACCACAATGGTATGAAAGGAGTAAACAGTAATTGGAAGAAAAATGAAGTATTCATATTCCTGAATGGATCAAAGAAGAAATCAAAAAGGAAATCAGAAAGTGTGATAAAGAAAATGAAACAAAAAAACCCCATAACATTCCAAAACTTACAAGATGCAGCAAAAACAGTTTTAAAGGGAAATTTATAGCAATAAATGTCTACTTAAGGAAAAAAAAATGATTTCAAACAACTTAAGCTGGTCTCAAGAAATTATAAAAAGAGTAAAAAAGCTAAATTCCAAGTTTGCAGAAGGAAGGAAATAACAAAGATCAGAACTGAAATAAATGGAA